TGTTATGTTATTATGTTGTTGTTATTGTTTATTATTGTTTATTATTATTGTTGTTGTTTTATGTTTATTTTGTTGTGTTGTTATATTATTATGGTTTGTTTTTTATTATTATGTTGTTATTATGTATGAAGTAAAACACTCTCTTGTTCTGTGTTTTAAAAATTGTACAGTAAATGTATATTACCGGTATCGATTACCCTGTTAAATTACACACATTATATATATATATATTATATATATAAATATATATATATATATATTAATATATATATATATATATATAGATCCGGACTCCACCTGCCCGGTCTCCCCCACAACGGGTGTCGGGCAGCAGCAGCGGGTCTCCCTGCCGGGCCAGCACAGTGTCCCGGGCGGGCAGAGCTCCGCCAGGCCCGGCGGTGGAAGCGGCTTTCCTGCGGCCCCAGCGGAGGCTCTGCCTGCTGCGGGCTCCACAACAATAATAAACAATAACAATAAAAACAATAATAATAACAGCAATAATAATAATAATAATAAGTTAACGTCAGTGTTGTTGTTCAGAATCAGAAATACTTTAATAATCCCAGGGGGAAATTATTTTGTTGTTGTTGTTAGATTTTCATTAATTAGTTAATAATGTGATTATTGGCAGCAGGTGTTTGATCAATAATCAGGTTTTAAGGAGTTTTTTTAATTAAAAGATCTGAGGACCTGTAACCAATCATCTGCGTTATTGATTGATTGATTGATTATTGGCTCAGATAATTGATCCCTGTAGCTGACTTCCTGTCTGATGTCAGCAGTTGGAGCTCCTGGTCCTGGACTGCAGTCCTGTGACTCAGGGCCGGATCACCGCAGACACGTCTCTGGTTCTGATGGACTGCTGCGACCCGGCGGACCCCCCGGCCCCCCCGGGACCGGCCCCGCCCTGCAGACCGCTCAGACTGTGTGTGTCGGACTTCGCTCATTACGCCGACGGCCTCGGAGGGGGGCGGTCTCTCCTGGACAACAGGAACTCTCTGGGCTCGGGGTTCTCCGGCGTCCTGCAGGCTCTGGAGGGCCGGCTGGAGGTCCAGGTCGGGGACCCTCGGCGGTGGCTCGGGGGTCAGCCGGTGGGCGCCGTGGACGTGGACGGCTGCGTGTTTGTGAGCACACAGCTGCTCCTCAGGCTGGGGCTGTTCAACCGGGAGTGGGTGAGGCTGTGGCGGCCGGGCGGAGCCTCCAGACCGGATCCCAGAGAGCGGCTGGTCTCGGTGCTGGTGCTGGACTTCGCTCAGAGTCCAGACCTGCAGAACCACAATGAGGTCGGACTCGTATCGCCGACTCTGTGGTTCAACATGACCGACGGAGACGAGCTCCCTGAGAGGAGCTGCACGCTGAGGATGAAGGTCAGCGGTTAACCTTCATAAGCCCCGCCCCCTTTCTGCACTGCTCCAATCAGAGTTGAGCGAGCCTCAGTCAACTTCCTGCTCACCTTAACTAAAAAATATTATATTTACAGGATGAGCTGGTCTAAAACGATTAGATGATAAAGATCGTAAGATTACACGTTTATATAAAATATGTTGTAAGTAGCTCATTGACTGAATGTCTGAATTTCACAATAAAGTTATTTACTTAGATATGCTATATGCTAAGCTAATGTTGAAGCTAGTTAAGATAATAGAGACATAGTCGTAACTATCTACATCCATTGTTAGCTTTTAGCTTGAGTTTTACTAACAGGAGCTACTTTAAGATGTGACTAATGTTCCTTTTAACTTGAACTATCTTTTCTACATAGATTAGCTTAGCACGTAGCATATCTTTGTACAGGGAAGGAGGAGGTTAATAACACGGATTAATACGGGACCGGATTCAAAACATGGAAAATAAGATCCAGGTTGAAAAATACAATAACAACGGAGGCAACAGCAGTTGGGGATTGATTGATTGATTGATTGATTGATTGATTGATAATTGTTCTCATCATTATCTGCTTTTGTCTCAGAGGTGGAAACCGTCTCCTCCGGCGCCCGGTGGGCGTCGCTCCGACAGTTTCTGTCGCTCTGCTTCTCCGCCGTTCGCCAGCGAGCTTCACATCCAGCCGGTGGCGTCTCCGCTGTACAACAACAACAGTTGCTACGACGACCTGCTGTCCGAACACTTCAGCTCGCCCAGGTCAGCTGACAGCGGCGGAGGAAGTACTCACATCCTGTAGTGACAATACTAAATGTGCTAAATGTGTGTGTGTGTGTCTGTCTGTGTGTGTGTGTCTGTGTGTGTGCAGGCTGGTTTCACTGGGAGACATCCTGATGGTTCCTGTGCAGAACCATCCAGACCTGCTGGAGAACAACTCGGAGGGAATAAACAGGTGAGCAGCAGAGAGGACCCTGTTCCTACTTCCTGTTCGGTTCAGAGTGACGGCAGCTGTGTGACCTTTGACCCGTCAGGTGTTCGGTGCTGTTCTTCAGAGTGCAGAAGGTCTGTCCGTCTGCGCAGACACAACCAGAGGAAGAGGAAGAAGAGGGAGGAGCTCACCTGGCCGACAGACTGCACACCTCACTCTACATGGTGACCTTTACTCCCCCTAGAGACCCGCTGTCTCCTATAGAGGCCCG